GCAAACTTAATTCATTCTTATCCTTACCGTATCAATATGAGCTTTCACAGACTGTATGCACCCCTTCGCCAGTGCATGAAGGTTCCACACTTTGAGGAGTTTGTCTGCGCCACTGCTGAACAGCTTGTTTCCATAACGTGCCATACAGTGTACCGCCCCTTGGTGACCTCTGAAATAAAGTTAACCACCTTTTAAAGGGCAAATTGATTTTCTTTAATCGGCAGCTAACAATGAAATTGTTCAGCTCCAATATTTTGATGTCTGTCAAGACATCTTCATCAGGCAATGAGCCTATCCAGTTGAGTAGCCCCTATTAAGGAGATACTAAAATTCTTCTCTGGATCTCTTTTTTTTTTCTTTCATTTTACATTTTCTAATCAATATTAAAAAATTTACCACAAAACAACAATATTTTGACACAGACAATCCTCTGTTTTTTTTTGTGTGCAGATTAAAATTATATTTTCTTAGAGCACTGTTAAATGAAAAAAATGTTTCCAGTCTGGCATTTTACCTCAAAGTCCCCATGCACTTGAAAGTGAAAGGCATGACCCACTTTTCATACTTGGGACTGCCCAAGGGACTGGACACAGGACTCCCCAGTGACGAGGTGGACGTGGCCCGAGCCATCCCATATGAACCTTAAAATATCAGACTTCTGTTGTCAGGCATGTAAAAATCAAACCATATATCTTGTTATTAAACATGTTATAAATAGTTTTTATATGCTTCATGTCTGAGCGTACTGTAACATAAGATGTGATTAGTACTGAGAAACTTGGATAAATAGTGGAGTTAAGTAAAATACAGAAAAGCTGAGAGTACATTGGAAACAAGAGGAGGCTATTTAATTTGTAAATCTGACTGCATTCAGTGAGAGTCCCCATGGAGTTAATACACAATGGCTAGTACAATAGATTCATTGTGAACACACCAATACAGACATAAGGGCACAATCACTTGGCTGTCTCACCTAACAAAATGGCTATATTTTATCCATGTAGACAGGGATCAACTGGCTTCAGCCTAGCAAAGCTGGCATAATTAAAATGCATCAAAACTGGCTCAGAAGCCCAGTATGAACAAGCTTTCATACCGATTGATAGAGCTGTTACCAAAAACTACTTGACAACTAGGAATTCTGACTGACAGAAATCACTGCATGAAATACTTCAACTGTGTTGATAATGTTACTTGTGGCCAATGAAAATATGAAACACATGAAACATCAAAGCACATGAAACACAAAAGCTATATTTTTTTCAATTGAAAACATGCTGAAGAAAAACCCCTACATCTTACCCCTACTCCGCCGTTTCTCTACATTGGACATATTTGTCTGGGCATCATTCTTGGTATTGTTGGTTGCTGAGAGGGAGTCATACTTCTGTTGTAAAGATGCCAGAACACTAAAAAAGGTAAAAGTAACAAATAAAAATTTACAAAAACCGAATACAATATGTGAGAAATATATTATTCCCATTCCTACCTGAACTGTTTAAAAAGTGTCCTTAAAATTCACCAAAAAAAGTTGTAGGAATAAAGTCTACCAAGGATCATCACATACAGTAAGTGCAGGACTGATTTTTTCCTTTTTGTAATGGGCATGAGTTTATGATATCAAAATAACAATTTTGAACTCTGTAAAAGTACCAAATGAATCACAGAATTATAAACATAAGTTCAATAGAAAGATCTATAAATTTTGTTATAGATATTGTAAGGATGTTGTGAATGTTTTCTCTTTACCTCATACAATTTTCTATTTGTGAAGACATTGTTAATTTTTGATCCTCTAATGTCTGCACTCTACTTGTTAACTCATTCACTGATTGCTTCAGTTTAAAATTTTCCTGTTTCAAATCTTCAAGCTAAAATAAATTACATACATTAAAATGTGAAGGAATAAAAATAAACTATTATAACAAAACTAACATTGATAAAATAAGTTAAACACAGAACACAATACATTAGTTAATATCTATAGAAGCTCACAACAACAGCAGCCTGCCAAGCGAATATTTTAATTAGATAAATTGTTGACATGTTTCAATTGGTCCAAATTGACAATAGTTTAACACTTATTTTAATTAAAATTTTTTAAATTGTAAAAATCTCCATGTGCAATTCATTTAGAGTCATGTTTTATTATTCAACGGTAGTACTTTCTGAGGTCTCTACTATCCTTTAAAGTAAACAATCAATTGTAAAATCACAATAAACCCTCTACTGTAACAATCAAATCTGATATTTTCAAGCACCTGTTTCGCTGAATTTGTATAAGAATGAAGACCCTGTAGAGCACGAAAGCCACAAATCTTCAAATGGTCCAAGACACCGGATTTAGTTCCCGTAAAACTGCAACCTAGAAATATACATCAAAAGTTAAAACCACTCAAAAAAGATTTTGCAGGTGACACTAGAAAAAATCATGTTCACTCTTTATCATTTGTTTTTTCAGAGAGCCTTTTAAAAACCATATATTTAGCTTATCAATTACAATAAATTATATCTCTATATAGGATATCTATCATATTTATTCAAGTCGTTTCTATTACACTGCCAGAACTGATCAAAATTCACCCTTACCTTTTTTAGAAATATCTTTAAATTTCTTCACTTTAAAAACACTTCCAAAATTATCACTAAATAAAAATCCTTATCAAACATCTTAACACCAAGAGTGACAATTGACAGATTTTTTCACAACAAGCTAAGGATGTTTCCACTTTGTAGACAAAATTTTAGGAAGCCCACCTTTATCTTTATGTGAACATTTATGATGACAGCATGACAATAAGTGGTGCTCTAGCTCTTTCCTACGCATTTTACCACAGAACTTCCCCTCACTGTTAGGGCAAGTGATCCAGGCATACTGACACCTCTCCTCATGGTGAAGTCTGTTACCTAGAACAAAGAAAGGTGGGACATAAATAATTACATAAAATAAGACTTACTTATTGAGTAAAAGGGAGAAGAAACAAAGAGGGAAATGTGTGTGTCCGTAGAGAGTATAACCTTAACTTAAAATTAACCAGCAAATAAGATTTAAATTTCAAAATTCATCACTTTATTGAAACCAATAATTTTCTTTGTACTTAAGATCAAAATAACTCACTAAAACCTTTCAACATATTTACAATGCCACTGTTAAAGGATGCAGGCAAAAACGCTTGCCAAACATTTCTTATATGTACATATAACATACACACCTAAATTGATTTTCTCTGGGCAGCCAGAAGGCTCCAGCACGAATTCATGCTCATCTTCAGACCAAGTCAACCCATGGCGACAGTAGATCTCAAGATCCTCTATTTGGCCAAGGACAGCCCTGGATGGGACAAAAGGGTATTGATAACTCTCAGGGATATATACAAAGTGCAGGTGTCCTCACAAATTAAGTATGCATATGTATCCATTGCTTGGGGACTCATCCATTGCCACTCCTATTCAAAGCCTCTGATACATGTATGAACTATACATAAGTATTTGCATAATGTGTTAACTAGAACATATCAGAAAACATGAAAAGAGGTACTAATGCATCTGGTATGGATAATAAATTTATATACACGTATCTCAGGCAGTGCTTTAATTTGATGCAATACATGAGATACAGGTACTGTACATGTACTAGTATAAATAATATACTCATTTTTCAAATTTATGTACATACAGGAAATGTTGTATACAACGAAATGCAACCAAGTTATATTACATCATAAACCACTGATACACACAATGCTACTTACTAGTAGGTAAAGTACTGTATGTGCATGTACATGCACCTGTACTAGGCCGATACACATGTACAGGGGTACATGTATCGATCAGTACGTATGATTTGTAATAAGTAATCGAATATGCTACAGCCCTAAGCCCAAATAAAAAAAGGACCATTCACCTTCTCCCCTTCTCTTTTTTCCTTACCGGATCTACCAGCGGCACCCCATTCAAGAAAAACAGCGCAGATCTAACTAGTACATGTAACTACTGTAAATGTAACTGACCCACCTANCAATATAATGTACACGCCAGTTACATCAGCAGTCTAAACCTCAACTCCAGCTCTCCCGCCAATTTATCGCCATAGCTATGTATAAAATCATAAAATTACATCAAAACGGGTTATCAGTGTGCATGAAACGAGGCATCACGTCGCCCGTGAAACTTTGAACCCCCGAGGGTGCAAATGAGCAGTGGACTCGTCATTTTTCTCACAAATCAATATTTATGATTTGGACCTGCTCAGATCTGATTCAGTGATTCTGTTGGTATATTTTTAAAATTAGGGGGTAGGGGGAATGCCGACACCACTCAGGTAGGCGTTTGAAGTTGATGAGTCGGTTGGGAATGTTCCAGTCTAGCCACCCCAGACAGACATTAGGTTATGAGGGATAGCCCCATGTTGCTGGTACCACATCTGAACCCTGTTTGCACCTATTCCACGGCTCCTGGGCCCCAGTCGATGTCAGAATTTGTTTAGAACCTCCAAACAGAGTTCCCTCGGAGATATCTGAAGGACCGAGTCCACAGGAACACCCTCACACCATCTCAGAGCTAAAGGCAGCAATCGCTCAAAAATCAGAGCTATAACAAATGAATATTGTATCAAAGTCACAACTTCGCTCGTAAAATTAAAGTGTGTGTTCAGCACAACGGAATAGGCCTACTTTGGGCCAAGTTTTTAAATAACGATAAAATGATTGCAAGTAAAGGTATTGACATGTTTATAGCACTAGATTTGCAAACTTTTGTAGTTTTCAGAAGCATATGTTTTATATATAGTATATAGACAGAAAATAAATGACGATCACGTTTCTGGGTTACATTTATACTGGCACACCTCTACATATACGTGCACTTAACGCACCGCGATAGTTAATGCGCAGTGGACACAAAACAATTTGTTCAGCAGTCGACTTTATCAATTAATTTATCACACGGAAAATGTGTGGTTTCAGACTACATACAGACACAGCTCCTGATTTGTACCCATATGATTTTATTTTTATAAAATGTACGACATATTTTTACAGAGAATATTTGGGAATATTTTTGCTCTTATATGCTGAATATAGAAATAATGTTGACTTTTTAGCAAGTAAAACATATCACAGTAAATATTCACTGAAGCAAGGTTTCCACCGTTTTGTGTATATTTAAGTGTATTTAAAATATATTCTGTCCACAATGAAATACCTATAATTATATATAAAACCTATCCTTAAGGAAACAATGGTAGATACACAATTTAATGACATCTTGGATAAATAATTGTTTAAAAAAATATCCAAAATGTTGGTCTTTCAGAACAAAACACCAACATTGTATCTGTTATTGTAAAAATATGTAATGGCTTCTTATTAAAACACTAATGATGACATCAATAAGTACATAACATAATTCAAGCATCTATATTTTGGCAAGAGATTTTGGAAACTGTAAATATTATTATATCTATAGGAATGAGTAAAAAAAGCAGTGTTGAGCATTATTAGCATTGGAGCATATTAGTCCTGTCTTTCGGAGCTGAGCCCATATTGTATATGGATATCTGACTTCTTGTTATTGTTCTTCTTATTCTTCAGGGAGTATGCACATTTCGGGCTGAACCACAATCATAGGCAATGTCTATGAATGTATCATCATTCATTCTTCAATATGACAGATGGCCAGGGAGTCATATGTCCAGAAATGATATCCTGAATGCACAAGGGCTCTGTATGTTGTCCACTTGCTGCGCCAAATTAGGTGGGCGTAAATCCCATCTGCATCTCAAAGTGTTTGAATACCTATAAATGGAAAACATTTTATCATTTTTTCACCATATACTTCAAAGTATATAAACAATTTGTTGACTTGTTCATTCAACTGTATAGCTTCTTAATCCATTCCTTATCTTTAGCTTTCAGTATACAGAAAGAAAGTCCATTAATGAAACCTTATTACTTCGAATTTAGCCCAAAATAAGTGAAATAACATTTTTCCAAAGTACTATTGCAAAAGAAGAAACCACATAAAAAACAATTATTATAATAAAATAGACCCAGAAAATTTTGATAAAACCAAGTAAAATAAGTGGACAGCTTCTATAATACATTTATAAAAAATAAACAAAAAAATTCCTGTATCATCTGACCCAGACAACAAAAATCCCCATATAGCTATAATTATAATCCATTAATAAATAATAAAATAAAGAAAAAGCCCACCTTGATTTCAGTGTCATCAGACCCTGAGAGCAAGAAGTCCCCATGTAGCGTAAGTGCATTGACTGGACCCTCGTGACGAGACAGGCTCATAATGGGGAGATTGTTCTCAAGATTCCAAACCTGAAGAATACATGTAGGTGGTCACTGTCTCAGTAAATGCCTTTTGCCTTTATATCCATCTTTGTTTAGAAAACAAATTCTCTATAATGAATAATGCAGTTAAATTGGCTTTGGTGAAGCCAAAAGTAATGGTGTATTTCACCAGTAACCGCTCTAAACAAAGTTCTTTCGATTTATTAATTGAATACTTGTCACTGTTGTCTTAAGATACTTTGCAAATCAGAGTATCGAGGGACCTCATCTCTTTCTTTCCTTCTATCAAATGTGGCAACTGTTACATACTTTGGATACATCTAGATATAATAGATATCTTAGACACATCAAGGCCTATGTATAATATACTAAAATACTAGATATCTTAGACACACACACACACACACACATTAAACAGATAGAGGAGTAATTAGTAAATATCTTGCTTTGGTAAGTCATTCAAATATCTCCAAGGCCACCTCTAGCAGTTATCAGCAAACTATACAAAGAGTCAGTGAGCAAGCAAAAAATTATTATACAAATTTTCCCATCAAGAATACTAGCAAAACACCCACATAACCTAGCTACAACACACATGAACTCACTTGAATTGTATGATCATCAGAGGCTGTGAAAAGAAAGCGGCCTGAGGGGGACACAACCAGCCCACGCACACACCCAATGTGGCCTTTCAGAGATTGCGTGTGTTCATAAGAATTAACATCAAACAGCTGTACGCAGCGATTGTATGTACCTGGATTCCGTAAAAAGAAAATGCTGAATCACCAGCAGTTTCTGTAGGAATTATATATATGTGCAATAAGGTAAGTATAAACAAACCTGAATGACGGCATCACCTGATCCTGAGAACAGAAATCGACCAGAAGAGGCCGCCACCAGGCTCCCAACAACACCAACATGGCCGAACAGAGTGTTTACATGTAGATGTGTAAAGACATCAAACAGCCGAATGTTTTGATTATATGTGCCTAGCAACAGCAGAAAAGAAAACCAGGTCCGTAACTGGTTTATTCTAAATATTATTTTCTCAATATCCATTAGAAAAAAATTCACATTTAAAAAAAAGGGATATCTGAAACAGCAAATAAAATTTAATTTTACTAAAAGATGTTTAAATTTAATTCAATGTCACTGAAAAAATTACATAATATTGATGAAGTTCTTAAAAATCTACCTGCTATGATATATTGCTGAGTTACCACCAGTGAGTAAATGGATCCAAATTGGTGATCTATTTTCCCTTTAAGGTTAAATTTCCCTGTGCTATCCCATATCTCTATTGTATTGTGTGAGCCACTGTAGACTTTATCCTGAAATAAAAAGCATCTGTCTATAATTTTTGTACCTGTAAAAGGGTGTCAAACTGGTATCTATTACCAAAACAGTATTTTAGACCAGGTGAGCCAAATTGTGGCCTAAGTTTGGAATAACCAATCAGATAATCTATATTATTACATAAAGCAGCCACAGAATTCAAACATTCACATGTATGTCATTGCTACACTTGCATTGCACACTTGGATACATCAGGCTGGCTTGACTGGTAGCAAGATCCATAAAAAAGCTTCTGTTGATCCTAGCTCTTAGGGGAAATTTTTACATTGCTCAGATCTATTCAATTCTTAATGATATAAAGAGAATGACAGTAGCCACATAGTCTACTTTCTGTTGAAAGGAGGTCAAAATTGGAGGATGGATCACATACTTAGATAATTTGGAAGACTGTCAGAAAATTTCTCTGGATCTGCCCCTGAAACTCCCACATATGAGGAAGGTCCTTAAACTAAGTTGATTGTTACCTTGGACTGTGACAGGGCCAGTGCTCTAACCCAGTGATATAAACCATCTATGGAGTGTAAGGGACTCAGAGATGTGGCATCCCAAACCTGAAACAGGAGAACATTAGGTTGTACTATAATATAACTCTAAGACATGTCATGAAAAATCTCATTCCAAATTGCTGAAACCAAAGAATTTTATGTCCATTTTCTAATTGTTTGCATTTAATTAGAATCTCTAAAACTGAATAATGGAATTTAGTATGGTGATTTCATGTTTTTGCAGCTTAAAAAGAAGATACAATATACTGGATCTAAACATACAGTACTCATAAATCACCATTTAATATTTTTTTGTTTATAAAGAGTGAAAACCCAGTCAATGCATTTTTGCATCTCAAAAAAAGATACAACTTGCTGCATCTCGATGTACAGTACTTGTATACAACATTTAATATTGTTTGTTTATGAACACTGAACAGCAACTAAAACCTTCATAACTTTATTTATAAAAACTGGACAATTCTAAATCAAGTGAGGTTCTCATGAGATCAGTGTAGCATTCTTCTCAACAATGTTACAGTTTCCATACCTACCTTGATTGTGGCATAGGAAGATGTGAACAGATACTCCCCACAGCAAACCATGGCACATATCACATTTTCATGAGCACTCTAAAAACAACAAAGCATGAAAATGATAAATATATGTAGTAACTAAGATGCTGGTATGTAACACATTTTGTGAAAGTAACTTAATATGTACTGTATTAGTATTATGTATTGTGCATACATGCAGAGAGTCATCAAATGGGCATTTTATAAATTAAATTAAAATGACCATTTGGCACATACTCAATACATTACCATCACCATGGATTGAAGTCATGCACATCTTATAATAAATTTAAAAAGGAACCCCACAGTGATATATGTCTTTTATAAGGTCACCCAACAAACAAAATAATTTACATTTACACTTTATCGAGTAACATAAGTTGTTTCAGTGACTGTTCACCATTGGCAACAGACATTTAAGATGTTGATTCCTTTCAAGAAGATCCCTCCTTTTTCTTCTCTATCTCTCTCTCTCGTGCTTTCCAAAAGACATGCAGTCACACACACACACACACACACTTGCAGACAGACACACCTGTGCTACTTGCTGTTCTTCAAGAGTTTCAATATTCCACCTCTTGATGGTAAAATCTGCTCCTGCACTGTATAAGCAGCCCTCCCCAACTGCTATAGTATGCACCTAGAAAAAGGAATAAAAACTACTCATTTGGTGTCAAGCAAATTTAGACATTAAAATATGAGTAAATCATGCAAATTTAATCTATTATGTGTGATGTTGCTGCAGTGCTTAATATTCATTAAAATAAAGTTTAAAAATTAATTAAAAGTTAGCAAACTGATGTGAATGTGTTTGCTAGATTTTGCCTAGATCCTAGAAACTGGTTGATTATTAATTTACAATATCCAAGTCATTGTAAACATTATAAAACTTTTTTGTCACTGTTCTAGTTCACAGCACGTACTAACATGTGTTGAAATAAATAAATTTTCATTAAAATAATAAGGAAATTGATATCTACTTTATTCTTCTCAAACTTACCATATCAGTATTAGGTCTAACAGACTGCAACTGTGCAGACTTAACTCATTCTTATCCTTACCGTATCAATATGAGCTTTCACAGACTGTATACACCCCTTCGCCAGTGCATGAAGGTTCCACACTTTGAGGAGTTTGTCTGCACCACTGCTGAACAGCTTGTTTCCATAACGTGCCATACAGTGTACCGCCCCCTGGTGACCTCTGAAATAAAGTTAACCACCTTTTAAAGGGCAAATTGATTTTCTTTAATCGGCAGCTAACACTGAAATTGTTCAGCTCCAATATTTTGATGTCTGTCAAGACCATCTTCATACAGTTGAGTAGCCTCTATTAAGGAGATACTAAAATTCTTCTCTGGATCTCTTTTTTTTTTCATTTTACATTTTCTAATCAATATTTAAAAATTATTTACCACAAAACAACAATATTTTGACACAAACAATCCTCTGTTTTTTGTGTGCAGATTAAAATTATATTTTCTCAGAGGACTGGTAAATGAAAAAAATGTTTCCAGTCTGGCATTTTACCTCAAAGTCCCCATGCACTTGAAAGTGAAAGGCATGACCCACTTTTCATACTTGGGACTGCCCAAGGGACTGGACACAGGACTCCCCAGTGAAGAGGTGGACGTGGTCCGAGCCATCCCATACGAACCTAAAAATATCAGACTTCTGTTGTCAGGCATGTAAAAATCAAACCATATATCTTGTTATTAAACATGTTATAAATAGTTTTTATATGCTTCATGTCTGAGCGTACTGTAACATAAGATGTGATTAGTACTGAGAAACTTGGATAAATAGTGGAGTTAAGTAAAATACAGAAAAGCTGAGAGAACACTGGAAACACGAGGAGGCTATTTAATTTGTAAATCAGATTGCATTCAGTGAGAGTCCCCATGGAGTTAATGCACAATGGCTAGTACAATATATTCATTGTGAACACACCAATGCAGACATAAGGGCACAATCACTTGGCTGTCTCACCTAACAAAATGGCTATATTTTATCCATGTAGACAGGGATCAACTGGCCTCAGCCAGCCTAGCAAAGCTGGCATAATTAAAATGCATCAAAACTGGCTCAGAAGCCCAGTATAAACAAGCTTTCATACCGATTGATAGAGCTGTTACCAAAAACTACTTGACAACTAGGAATTCTGACTGACAGAAATCACTGCATGAAATACTTCAACTGTGTTGATAATGTTACTTGTGGCCAATGAAAATATGAAACACATGTAACATCAAAGCACATGAAACACAAAAGCTATATTTTTTTCAATTGAAAACATGCTGAAGAAAAACCCCTACATCTTACCCCTACTCTGCCGTTTCTCTACATTGGACATATTTGTCTGGGCATCATTCTTGGTATTGTTGGTTGCTGAGAGGGAGTCATACTTCTGCTGTAAGGATGCCAGAACACTAAAAATGGTAAAAGTAACAAATAAAAATTTACAAAAACCGAATACAATAAGTGAGAAAAATATTATTCCCATTCCGACCTGAACTGCTTAAAAAGTGTCCTTAAAATTCACCAAAAAAAGTTGTAGGATTAAAGTCTACCAAGGATCATCTCATACAGTAAGTGCAGGACTGATTTTTTCCTTTTTGTAATGGGCATGAGTTTATGATATCAAAATAACAATTTTGAACTCTGTAAAAGTACCAAATGAATCACAGAATTATAAACATAAGTTCAATAGAAAGATCTATAAATTTCGTTATAGATACTTTACCTCATACAATTTTCTATTTGTGAAGACATTGTTAATTTTTGATCCTCTAATGTCTTCACTCTACTTGTTAGCTCATTCACTGATTGCTTCAGTTTAAAATTTTCCTGTTTCAAATCTTCAAGCTAAAATAAATTACATTCATTAAAATATGAAGGAATGAAAATAAACTATTATAACAAAACTAACATTGATAAAATAAGTTAAACACAAAACACAATACATTGGTTAATATCTATAGAAGCTCACAACAACAGCCTGCCAAGAGAATATTTTAATTAGATAAATTGTTGACATGTTCCAATTGGTCCAAATTGACAATAGTTTAACACTTATTTTAATTAAAATTTTTTAAATTGTAAAAATCTCCATGTGCAATTCATTTAGAGTCATGTTTTATTATTCAACGGTAGTACTTTCTGAGGTCTCTACTATCCTTTAAAGTAAACAATCAATTGTAAAATCACAATAAACCCTCTATTGTAACAATCAAATCTGATATTTTCAAGCACCTGTTTTGCTGAATTTGTATAAGAATGAAGACCCTGTAGAGCACGAAAGCCACAAATCTTCAAATGGTCCAAGACACCGGATTTAGTTCCCGTAAAACTGCAACCTAGAAATATACATCAAAAGTTAAAACCACTCAAAAAAGATTTTGCTTGTGACACTAGAAAAAATCATGTTCACTCTTTAACATTTGTTTTCTCAGAGAACTTTTTAAAAACAATATAATTAACTTATCAATAATCATAAATTATATCTCTATATAGGGTATCTATCATATTTATTTATGACATGTTTCTATTACACTGCCAGAATTGATCAAAATTCAAAATTCGCCCCCACCTTTTTTAGAAATACCTTAAAATTTCTTCATTTTAATCATCACTTAATAAAAATCCTTATCAAACATCTTGACACCAAGAGTGACAATTGACTGATTTTTTCACAACAAGCTAAGAATGTTTCCACTTTGTAGACAAAATTTTATGAAGCCCACCTTTATCTTTATGTGAACATTTATGATGGCAGCATGACAATAAGTGGTGCTCTAGCTCTTTCCTACGCATTTTACCACAGAACTTCCCCTCACTGTTAGGGCAAGTGATCCAGGCGTACTGACACCTCTCCTCATGGTGAAGTCTGTTACCTAGAACAAAGAAAGGTGTGACATAAATAATTTCATAAAATAAGACTTACTTATTGAGTAAAAGGGAAAAGAAACAAAGAGGGAAATGTGTGTGTTCGTAGAGAGTATAAGCTTAACTTAAAATTAACCAGCAAATAAGATTTAAATTTCAAAATTCATCACTTTATTGAAACCAATAATTTTCTTTGTACTTAAGATCAAAATAACTCACTAAAACCTTTCAACATATTTACAATGCTACCGTTAAAGGATGCAGGCAAAAATGCTTGCCAAACCTTTCTTATACGTACATATAACATACACACCTAAATTGATTTTCTCTGGGCAGCCAGAAGGCTCCAGCACGAATTCATGCTCATCTTCAGACCAAGTCAACCCATGGCGACAGTAGATCTCAAGATCCTCTATTTGGCCAAGGACAGCCCTGGATGGGACAAAAGGGTATTGATAACTTTCAGGGATACATAGAAAGTGCAGGTGTCCTCACAAATAAAGTATGCATATGTATCCATTGCTTGGGGACTCATCCATTGCCACTCCTATTCAAAGCCTCTGATACATGTATGAACTATACATAAGTATTTGCATAATGTGTTAACTAGAACATATCAGAAAACATGAAAAGAGGTACTTATGCATCTGGTATGGATAATAAATTTATATACACGTATCTCAGGCAGTGCTTTAATTTGATGCAATACATGAGATACAGGTACTGTACATGTACTAGTATAAATAATATACTCATTTTTCAAATTTATGTACATACAGGAAATGTTGTATACAACGAAATGCAACCAAGTTATATTACATCATAAACCACTGATACACACAATGCTACTTACTAGTAGGTAAAGTACTTTATGTGCATGTACATGCACCTGTACTAGGCCGATACACATGTACATGTATCGATCAGTACGTATGATTTGTAATAAGTAATCGAATATGCTACAGCCCTAAGCCCAAATAAAAAAAAAGGACCATTCACCTTCTCCCCTTCTCTTTTTTCCTTACCGGATCTACCAGCGGCACCCCATTCAAGAAAAACAGCGCAGATCTAACTAGAAACTACTGTAAATGTAATACTGACCCACCTGTTCGGCACTAACTCGGTGAACGTCCTCTCATCAATGGGGCATTTTGCTCCTGTTTCACCTCTCTGTAGACCCGAGATACACGCCCTACAAAATGTATGCCCGCACACGACACTAATCACCGGGTCGGTAAACAATTTCTTACACAAGGGACAGAGTAAATGCGAGTTAATTGGCTGCGTGAACCTTGTTGGTGTTCTCTCTTCCGCCATGACTGCGTAAGTAGGTCGCAGGTGTTGCCAAACTGCTGACCAATGGTAGGGCGAGAAACTAGGTCAGACTTTGCGCCTTTCACTTCCTGGTTGTTTTTATCTCACCTGTGTGACTTTGTACAAACAGTCCTTCAATAGTTTCTAGTTTTTATCATGTTTATCCCCTTTCCCTGTGAAGAAGAAGGGAAAATTGTCATCATAGTACCACTTACCCGTCCCTTTTTAAGGAAGTTCGCAACTTTATAGAGATTTATGCACTGTGCTACTGACCCATTAGAGCCTGCGTCATCAAAACAAACGGCAGCCATTCTGGAGGGAGACCGGAATCGCCTGCTGCGCATGAACAAGCCATGCCTGTAGTTCAGTTTTCGTTTTCTGTATTTTCTTTGATATTTAACCAAGCAAAATGATGAATTACTGCAGGTTATTTGATCGAGAGAAGATAACTAACTTTACAAGCGTTCACAGGCTGCCTGCAGTGGTAACAATCCATGGTGAAGGAACTAAAACCATAAACGGAGGAGAGACGGCGAGGTGGCTTTGAATCAAGACTCTTCGGAAAAGTAAAGGATAAAACTAATTTATTTTATAGCAAAGAATGGAGAGCCAGCTGTGCAGATTTTACCAAAAAAGAAAAAACAGTAGAAAACAAAAGACCTAGGTGTGTACATTTGGGGCGCACGTACACTACATA